CTCACCTGCAAGGTTATCCTTCCTGACGAAAGAAAAACCTCCGAAGTTTTGCATGGTTGTTCTGGTTTCAGATTTGTTTCCTGTATTGCGAAGCACACAGGATGATACACATTAATTATAGATTTGATGTCTAGCAAATTTCGGTGGAAACCGCGACAGTTCCATGACACGAGGGTGGCCATTATGAATGGTTTTTGTTTTTCCTGTGCTGTTCTTTTGTTTTTCGTGGAAGTAGATGCCTGGGAACTTCCAGACCCTCTTCCACTTCCATAAAGTCTGAATCCGCAGATTCAGAAATCATCTCATCAAGAGAGCTATTGCTGCGACTTCTATTTTTATTTGATGTTTTTTGTGTGGCAATTTTGGGCTTACTTTGAATAACTGTTTCTTTCTTTTGTACTATATGTGTCGCATTTTCTTTCTTCTTATTGGATGTAGACGGTTGGGTTTTATTTGGTAGGGTCTGTGTGCCTATTGATGTTTGGGTGGCAACTGTACGAGATGATTTAACAGCACTGGCGTATGATGTATTTGGTCGAAGCTGTGTGCTCTGGACTAATCTTCTGGCTTCGGCATATGAGATGTTCCTAGTAACTTTTGCAGTCTGGACTTCTTTTTCCGATTTCCATTTTGGGCACAAGCGAGAAAATGCTGGGTGGTCACCCTTGCAATTTATACACAAAGGCGCAGCGGTACAATTTTCAGAATCGTGGCCAATCTGTGAGCATCGGGCGCATGTGAGGCTGCCACGACAAGACGTCTTAGAATGGCCGAAACGCTGGCATTGGAAACATCGCATAGGGTTTGGAATATAAGGTCTTACAGGAATATTTAGATATCCGGCCTTAATATTCTTAGGCAGATCAGGCGTGTTGAAGGTAAGGATCACGTGTTTCGTGTCTATCAACTTACCTTCTTTACGCATCTTGATCCGCCTTACACCGCAGACATTTTGTTCGGATAGCTCAGAAGCGATCTCTTCTTCAGAAACATACAGAAGGTCGAATTCTGAGATTACACCCACGACAATAGTTCAGTGACTTATGTGGTGTTGCCCAAGTTTAGTTATCTGAAGTAAAGAAGCAGACTGGGTGGCTGAGTTTGTATCAATAAGCAAGTCTCCGGAGCGGAGACGCTTTATATTTCTCGGCTCACCAATACAAGACTGGATGTATTTGTTTATTACGAAAGGAGACAACTTATGCATTTCGCCAGAAGGACTAGAGATGACTAGGAAACGGGGACTATTGTTTTGATTTTTTTTATTTGCATCTGTCCGTAATTTTTTTGCAGAATTTTTTTCAGAACTAGGTTGAGTGACTGGTTTAGTAGTAGACGTTTCAGAACTAGGTTGAATGATTGGTTTATTAGTAGATGGTTTCAGAGCTAGGTTGAGTGACTGGTTTAGCAGTAGACGTTTCAGAACTAGGTTGAGTGACTGGTTTAGTGACGTTTCAGAACTAGTTTTGAGTGACTGGAGTTACCTCGAAATCTTTAATTAAGTAGATATGAGAAGAAGCCATAGTTGAAAGAATAAAGATTCGGGTCCGACGGCCCCGCCCACCACGGAGCCCAACAAGGGAACACAGATTCCTGTGTTAGGGCTAGCCGGACCTATACGCAAACTGAAGCCCCACAGTCGGCTTTCCCGAAAGCAGGTACTCCCAAGAGCTTGACCCCAAGCCACTGACACAAGGACTAGTGACCAGCCGATTGACACCCGTGAGGACGACTAAGGTGCCTCCCGTTTAGCTGAAGCAGAGGCCAAAGCAGTGTGTTGGGGACAGTACCTCGCCCCTCAACTACCAGGACCCTCCTTTCCAGCGACACGGGTCTCCACGCACGGCAAACACGTGGGCAGTTTTCTCGCCACTCGAAAACTAGAGACAAGGTCTGTTCCAGTCTCTCGTGACGAGCCCCAAACTCCGTAGAGAGAAACCACAAGGGAGAAGGGAAGGGAAAAAGTTCCAGCCAAGAGGAGAGGAGACGGAAAAGAGGATAGATCACTGGGGCTCCAGGATCGTGACACCCGTCTCACCAAGAAGATGATCCCCTGAAGGGCTAGGGTACCTCGGGATTGCCACACCCGTACTCACAAATGAGCCCCCTGAGGGAAGATTATTAAGTATCAGTTTTTATCACTAAGAATTATTTTTATTTTTTGTAAAAACTTTTTTATTTGGAAAAATTTGATTTTTTTTTTTAATTTAATTATATGGATTTGTGAATTGTTTTATTTTTGGAATACGTTTGAGTAGTATACGTTGAGTATTTTCATGCATTTTCGGGAAATTTTTCTAATTTATAAGAAAAAGCAGTGTACATGGATATAGTGAAGAGTGTGCGCAATGCCATTTTTGTGCAATTCTGGGATGTTTTTTTTAAGTAAAAATAGTCGACGTGTACATGGTTTAGTGATATTTTAATTAAATGATAGTTATTTTGTGAATTTTATGTTTGTAGGAATTTGGTATACGTTTCAGTTGAAATAAACGTGCATGGAAGTAATTTAAATATTTGACACTAAGTATTTGTAATATTTGCGGTATGAATTCGTTGGTGACGTTTATAATATAATAGATAATTTAGAGGTAAAAGTTTTTGGATATTTTATTTATTTTATACGTGGAAATGTTCATCCTTGGAAAGGATATATACTTTTTCATGATCAGGTAATTTCATATATGTGCTTTTTACCGAGTTTAAAGATTCACAGAATTTTTTTGCATTTTCGTGCAAATTTTTGTAATTTATGAGAAAATAGCAGTGTATATGGATAAAGTTAAGAGTGTGTGCAATGCCATTTTTGTGCAATTCTGGGATGTTTTTTTAAGTAAAAATAAGTCGACGTGTAAATGCTTTATGTGTATGTGCTATTCTGAAAAACGCGCAAGGAGTTTGCGATTGTGCACTTTTTCCAAATTTTGCAGTTAATATTTGTCATGATTAAGCAGTTTTGTTACATAAAATTTCTAGCATAAGTGTAATTCGGCTAGTAGATTATTGCAAAAAATGTTGAGTAAATTAAAAGAAAAGAAACCTGTCTTTACTTCGTGAAGACAAAATGGCGGCGAAAAAAAAAATAGAGGGTTGCTGTAGCAGAGTTGGTCGCCAAATTTTCGCCCAAAAATCGCCAAGTTACCATAATCCAAAGATCAACAACTCCTTTAACAATAAAAATCTTACTGAAAAAAGCAACATCTACCCAAACTGTCTGAAGCTTAACAAGACAAATAAAAACTAGTTATAGAATTACCTTGATCTAAGAATTTAAGACAAAATAACATGCTGAACAAATACTAATTCAGAAGTCAAACAACCAAAATCAGTGTTACATTTTCAAAATTTTCACAGGACTAGTTTCGATGGTTTTACTGAACCACCATCCTCAGCTGCAAAACCGCCGGCTACACTAGTCCTGTGAAAATTTTGAAAATATAACACCGATTTTTGTTGTTTGACTTCTAAATAAAAATTTGTCATTTAAAAGAAGTAAGGATTTTTGATAAAAGAAGAGAATTCAGTTTTTCAAAAATTAAACTTATCAATTGGAATACTAACCTCACTAAAAGAGTCATTGCAAATACAATTATTAATCTAATTGTCAGAATTAAAAGAATTTGCATAGTAATTAAACAGCAACAGCATTAGATAATTTTTCCTACTAAAGTTTTAAAAGAGAATGAAATTCCAATTAATCTCATTAAGTATCAACTAAAAAAAGCCAAACTGGTCTACACCTTATGAATTCTTTCAAAGTAATATATTTCTTATCTGACTTGGCTTTTATTAACTGAGGGCTTAACTATATTCCAAGTTGTCATGGTATGCCCATGGCATGCGGGGAGATGTATATTTATGTACACAAATATACATGCTGATGGATATAACACAAGTATTTTCAGAGTTGTATAAAACTGGTATATGTAAAAATACTTCCCGATTATCTGCAACTCCACGAAAAGTCGTCAACTTCAGTGGCAATTTTGTGAATTGACAAAATGCATTTTTTGGTTATTTTTATGGTGAAGTACTGTTCTGTACATAAGCAATAATAATAAAAGAAACATTTTATAAGAAACAAGGACTTATATGAGAAAAACAAAAATTTAAATGGCCAATACTTAGTTTTACAAGTAGAACCTGTTCAGCAAAATTACAGTTAAATATAAATCATAAAAACCACATGTACTCAAACAGACATGTGGTACATGGCTGCATGGGTTGGCTATTGCGGCATGTATATTAAAAAAAAATATGCCAAGCATAACAGTTCTGCCAAATGTTGAAACCAATGGTGCTCATAATCAGAAAGCACCAAAAAACTAATTATGCTAATTAAGCTCAAATTATAATTATGCAATCTGAATTCCACAGCTACTTTAGTACTGTAGCATAAAATATGCATGTAAATTTCATTTTATAAATGGTACAAAAAATTGAATTAAAATCAGTTTTGTTACTGTTAATACGTGAAATTAATAAAGAACATTTGATATTTGCTGTATATATACGTACAATTTAATTTCAATATTTAACAATAATCTTTGTCAACTAGTCATTAGTTTTTTAGTACTGCAACAAAAACACAGTAAATTATTATTATTCTACAATGATAGCATTATATTTAGATAAAATTAATTCAAATTACCTTAAATGCTACTAGAGTAATTAATTTTATGCAAAACTATGATTAAAGCACCTAGAAACTACATATCAGCTTCTTCAGAAGCTAGTATAAGTAACTGCATAAGCTAATTGCAAAAACAAAATACTGCATATCAGTACACAAAACGAAAACATATGATATAAAATTTTTAAAAAATTAAGAATCAAGAAAGTAATTTCCAACAAAAAAATTTTTCGAATGCAGTGACATCTAATTTCACTTCCTTTCTTACCACGAACGAACACTTATATTCTTCGCTATTTCTGCTACAAACAATGAGCTATGATTATAATAGAAGGTTTAGAAAGCACGTAATAAACATCTCCCTTACCTGCAATACCGGTTAAAAATAAAAAGGGCGCGAATTCCGCTTTTTAGAGTAAAACTGAGATACTTTATAGCTGACTCCGCTTGCCCACTAACATTGATAAAACATAATTAGCGTCTCAAAACATACTGATGTCTTTGTTGCCGGTTCCGCGGACGGCTCTATTTGAAATACCTAGGGGTGGTTTGAGGTGGAGAAGCTGTGGAAAAACACATCATTGAGCTTACATCGAATGGCACTACGCCGTAAAAATTTGATATCATAAGGCAGCTCTTTAGAGAAGATTTTAAGTATTTTCGAGAGCATTTAAGGGAGCATTTTTCTCAGATCGACGAAGCACACGACAACTAACCTACAGCCCAATTTTATACCAATCTTATACCAACTCTTTCCCGATTTTCAGTTTTGTTTTTAGAAAACTTTCATATTGACAGATTTTAAAGACTTCTTAGTATGCATAACACTGCTTACTAAGAGTCCAAAAACCCAGTTCCCAATTACTCGACATTCCATATTAACTCGACGAAAACTTTTTTTTTTTTTTTAATGGCTAAAATCTTCTGGTCAAGCAAAATACTATCCTTGAAATGATGTGATGGTAATTTTCTAGCTTCATAGATATGGTGTAAACAGTGTAAGTGCATTTTTATTAATGTATTATTGTAATTACAGTGTCTCTTTATCTGCATGAATGTCCGTATATTTCCTTTGTGTGTACTGTTCAAAGATTTGCTATGGTATTGTAACTTCTAATTTTTGTCTCCGACCCTTTGTGATACCATTTCTTGGAGCCTGTATAATGAATTTGGTTAGAAATCTTCCCCTTTTTCTCGAAATTTCAATCCACCCTATTTCTCATCTTGGTAACAATGTAGCTGGACAAAGTCAGGTAACCGCTGAATATCACCACATATATTCTTTCTTCTCTGTGCCAAAGAATATGTATTGTTCATAGACGTTCTTTGTCTGTGCTTCTTGTTAGCAAGTTTATGGCTGTACCCTACTGAAAACTAAACTTTCAGTTCATTCTGTGTCGTGTTTCTTAGATTTTAACCACTCCGTGTTTTTAACCGTATTTGCAAGAGTTGCGTTGTGTTGTTTATGCAAGAGAAAATGTCGAAGAAGAAGAAAAGAAAACAAATTAACTTAGCAATGAAAACGAAATTGAACACCTTAAAAGACTAGAGAAAGAAACTAGAGAAGAACGTTATTAATTAAATTGTCATGGATTAAAGTTTTGGACGAAACGCTGTTAATTTTAAGCTGGCACGTCTGTGAAAATTGGCATTTTCGGTAACTCGACATCCTCTCAATCCAAGTCGAGTTTCCTGGACCAAGGCCAACTAGATATAGATACTAGATATTTAGTTGGCCTTGACTGGACTCTATTGTGTTCATTATTTCATATTACTCCTGAATCATTTTGAATTAAAAACGATCGAGATAATCAACCACCAAGATCACTGGCACAATGCCATTCACTTGTAAAGAACAACTGCAAATAAAAAGTTACGGACACCTTTAAATTCTCTCAAATGAAATACAAGTTCTCCAGAAGAACGAATACGATAATTTTAAAAATCAACAACTATTTATTAAAATGCAGCATTGTTAACATAAACAACATAAAAAAAGCTGAATACACTACGTTCTAAACAATATGTACAAAGGAAAAAGAATATTGTTACGAATTTGCTCTTTAAAAAGCTAATGTTAGTTCAATTATAAATTAAATGGTTTTATTTCTCGCGCACTGCAGCCGTGACGAATATTAAAAAAAAAACCGGAAAAAAAAAATAAAAAGAGCGCGTGCGTTAATAAATAAATACTCTTTTTGATCGAGAAAGACTGGAAATTCTACGCGTGATTTTAAAATCTTATAAAAGGAGAAAACATCTAGTCGGTAGTTGCTTGCTTAGTTTGTTGTTTTTAGAAAAGGTCTTGTTGATTGTAGCGAATTCGCGATTAGCGTTCTTTAGCTGTTTTGAATTACGTTCTATTGTATATTTGAGTAGTTAAAAAATAACTACTGTGAGATATTGTAATATGCATGATAATTTGAGAATTTAAGCATTTGTTGTGATAATAATAATTTTGTTCATTTTTCATCGGACTTGTGCATTCATTTCATAACGACCCGTACCACGCAACAATTTTTGGTGTCAGAAGTGGGATTCCCAAGCTAAGGCCTGTCATCTCGCCGCTTCTTCTCTGAGAGCAGACGCAGTGGATATCCTGCAACGCTTCCCGAAAACCAAGACTAGACTTTGAAGCTCTATCCGCGATTGGAACTGCGCTTTGGTGAAAAGTGTTTGAAAAAGACTAGCAGGCTCAACTAAAATCCCGTCAGAGAGGTCCACCGAAAACACTTCAGGAGCTCGCCCGGATGTTGAAGGCTGTCACATCACGCCTTTTCGGAGTGCCCCGACAGAAACAAGCAAATCCTGTCGATGCAATATTTCATCGACGCATCCGGGATCCTGAATACAAAAAGCTCTTCGAATGGCAAATGTAAAGGACAAAAAAGCGCTCTGTGTACGCCATAAATTGGAGGCAGCCCAGCAGCAACTCTTAGAGATCGCTACCCAGTCAAGCTGTGCGAGCCAGACCCAGGGACCAATTGATGGCTCGTTTAGATGATTATCCAGACAAGTCGAAGCTTGATACGAAGTAGAGCGAAAAAAACTGGTTCTAAAGTGCTGGAACTGCGGGTTGAAGGCCACATCGAAGAACTGCAAAACACCCCGAGATACGGAAAATAAGACCATTTCTCAGCAACGACGCAGTAAACAATTAGTGACCATATCGAGGAACGGAGGTTGCCAGATATGAAAACCTTGTTTTAAAGCACTTAAATTATACAGTGAGTGGCACAGTAACGGACTGTCCATTATGGGAATATCGATGGAGTTCCTTGCAATATGATCATTGACCAGGAGCTAATGTTACCATCAGTAGGAAAGATTTAGCTGAACAGTTTAAGATAAACTTATTTGGACGCACCTGTGTTACCCTTCAGACGCGTCTGGTGACAGATCGACATAACTGGGAAGTTAACGTAAACATCACTTTGGAAGTGCGCCTACCATCATACGGCATATGTGGCGGATATTACAGATCCATGCATACTCGGATTGGACTTTTAAAGAAATACATTTTTCCTTAGATTCAAAAACAATAAGCTGCTTCAGCATCTGATGGCATGACTATCCATCCTCAAAGGGATCCTCGCCTGAATGTCGACGCCTTGTCGAAAGATCCGCTCGGGAAGCTGCCGAAATCATACCAGGGTCGAAAGAAAACTCAAGACTACCAGCTATTTCCATCCCAGAAGCTCTTCGGTCGAGACCTTCGTTGCCTTGTGCGCCTTTTAGTCGCCCTACGATGCGCCTTCATGCTGAGGAACACATCCAATGCCCAGGCCCGGTTTGGGGTGCCCTCTGCACGAACGTATCACTTGGCGACGGAGAAAATGAAGACCAGATGCGATCACACTACTAACAGAGATCCAACAAAGGAGACAGGTGTGGTTGCGAACCCCAATTCAAACGAAAAGACGAGCCAAATTACAGTCACTTCGGATGGTCCATATACGTGCGAACCGAATGACGTCGTGGTTCGGATCCGGAGTCTTCGAATCTTACGAAGGTTAGCTTATTCTATGGCCATAGTAACGTAATGTAATAATTGTAAAGTATCAGACCATGGTCCTTTTTGTTTATAAATGTGTATTTGATTTGTTTTAGTATTTGTTTTGTATTATATTGATAGCATTTGATTTGTTTAAGTTAGTTATGCATTTATTGTTCGTGTTGTTTATTATTGTAATGTTTATGCTCAGTTGCATTTAGGTCACAGTTGTAAGTTTAGCTTCCTGTCGGTATTGTACTGCCCGGGACGTGCAGTCCTTGGGAAGGGGCAGTGTTACGAATTTGCTATTTAAAAAGCTAATGTTTGTTCAATTATAATTAAATGGTTTTATTTCTCCGCGCAGTGCAGCGCGTGACGAATATTAAAAGAAAGCTAAAAGTCGGAAAAATTAAAATACAAGAGCGCGTGCGTTAATAAATAAATATCTCTTTTTTGATTTCGAGAAAGTACTGGAAAATTTAGCGCGTGATTTTAAAATCTTATAAAAGGAGGAAAACCTCTCAGTCGGAAGTAGTTGTGCTGCTAGTTTGTTGTTGTTTAGAAAACTGCTCTTGTTGATTGTAGCGAATTCGCGGATTAGCGTTCTTTAGTGTTTTGAATTACGTTCTATTGATATTGTAGTTAAAAGATAACTACTGTGAGACTTGTAATACTGCATGATAATTGAGAAAATTTAAGCATTTTTGTTGTGATAATAATAAATTTTTGTTCATTTTTCATCGGACTTGTGCATTCATTTCATAACGAACCCGTACGCACGCAACAATATATTGTTTTAATAACAAATAATAAATGTTACCATTTTAACAACAAGAAAAGTAACAACAAAATATAAGTTGAAAATAATAGATGAAGTAACAGTTAAGTTTAAATAACTATATTAATTATTGTACACTCTTTAATATTTTGGATTAATGATGATCGAGATCATCAACCATCAAGATCACTGGCACAATTCCATTCACTTACGACGATGGCAAATGAAAGGGAAAACAATTCTTATTATTATAGCTTGTGCGATTTTTCAGAATTAATAATGTGAGAGACAGAACATGACTAATCTCTGATGCACGTATTTTTAATTACAAAAGTTTGTGATATCGGCAGGAGAGTGTCTGAGCGTCCGATGACGCTGTGAGTAACTTTCACATCCAAATATCCGGTATTTTTATGGCTAATGACGTACCATGCGAACATGTTTTTGCAGTCACCATGTTTTGGTGATTTTTAGATTTTAGCTAGTTATTTATTTCGGATATTCTTAATGGCTTTACAATTCAATAATAATAGTTTCGTAAAATAAAAATTTCAGTAGCTTTCATGTTCGAATATGTGAATAAATAACGAGAAAAAGAAATGATTAAAACAGCAACCAATATTAAGTTGTGCCATACAAAAATAAATAATTAAATAATAGAGGTAGATCTACAGGGTGTATCAGTACAGTGGTGACAAACTTTCAGGAAAGATAGAGTACACCTAGACGATGAGAAATCACATACCAATGCAT